GGGGTGTGGGTGGCCTCTAGAAGCTAGAAAAGTCAAGGACACAGATTGTCCCTAAGAGCCTCCACAAAGGAACACATCCCTGCTGTCACATTGATTTTAGCCCAGTGAGACAATGTCAGAATTCTGATCTATAGAACTGTAATATAATAAAGTTGTGCTGTCTTAAACCACCAAGTTTGTGGAAATTGGCTACAGCAACAACAGGAAACTAATACAGTCCAAATACACTTCTAGGATGGCTCATTACAGGAGTGGATGTAATGTACAGGAACGGTGGCCTACAGTAAATGAGGCAGAGAAGCTGAACGACTTAGCAGAGTACTGAGAAAGGGGTCACCAGGCTCAGTGTGTGAAAATGAACTTATTACATGAGACCTGAGAACCCAACAGCCAACTATGTTACCCCAGAGAACCCAAAGAACCCCTTCACCAAGACAAAAAGGGTGCACTCATCATAGGATCACTGGTGTTGTTCAGCGGTGGCTGTCTGTGTGATTAGTAGGAGATTCTGCCATGGAACTGAGTGCCCTGGTGTCAATGAGGATGCTGATTTGCAGAGGCCAGGTGGTAGCATTTAGTTGCTAGAGGTAAAGTGGACATAATTACTGTGATGGGCAACAAAGGTCAGGATAGTAACTAGGGTGTCTTGACCCACAGGGATCTGTGGCAATGGCTAAGAACCCTTGGTGTCCCTAGGAAAGATGGACAGCCAACAGGATGATGCCTTGTGTTAACAGTCAACCCCATGAAGAGCTGATGAGGGCTGGGCGCGGTGGCTCACGCCTGTAATCCTAGCACTCTGGGGGGCCGAGGTGGGAGGATCCCTCGAGGTCAGGAGTTCAAGACCAGCCTGAACAAGAGTGAGACCCCATCTCTACTAAAAATAGAAAGAAATTAGCTGGACAACTAAGAATATATATGGAAAAAACTAGCTGGGCATGGTGGCGCATGCCTGTAGTCCCCAGCTACTTGGGAGGCTGAGGCAGAGGATTGCTTGAGCCCAGGAGTTTGAGGTTGCTGTGAGCTAGGCTGACGCCACAGCACTCTAGCCAGGGCAACAGAGTGAGACTGTCTCAAAAAAAAAAAAAAAAAGAGCTGATGAGGCTGAAATCAGCCCACACAATGGGAAATTGCAATCCTTCCCCCACTTTCCACATCTGAGCCAGTTCTCAGACTCCAGAATCCATCAATTCAAGGGAAAGCTGGGTTTCTTTGAAGAACCTTCCAATTCTACCACAAGTATATGCAGTAAATATTCCCCCCAAAGGACCTGTGGCTGTTTCCCATAGTACACGAGGGAAACGGAATACCCAGACCTTTTCAGGCTATTGGATACAGGGTCTCAGATGACACAGACCTAAAACTGCATCACTGCCCTCCAGATAGAGGCCAGCTGATAAGTGGAGTCCTGGCCCAAATCCATCTCAGCAGGCCCAGTGGGTACAGAGATCCACCCTACGGCCATGTTCCTGAGAGGACTGGGAGGGATGTGTGTAGCAGAGGGACAGATGCCTAGCACACTGGTTACCTAACCTGGGGGGTTGTGGGAGGATGGGCCAAGTAGAAACACCTGGGCATCCTTGCCCTTCCCCAGCCATCCAAGATGATAAATCAGAAACAATACCACATCCTGCATGGAACTAGATTACCGCTGCCCTCAAAGATGGAAAAGACTCAGTTCTTCTGTATCGCTCCTGTAAAAAACAGATGAATTGTGGCTGATCATGGTTGTTTGCCATAAACCTAATCACAAGTGCTGTGCAGGGTGCGCTCTTCACTGGGACAGACCAACATGGCCTCTGGCTCTTGGTATGCATCTATTGATCTGTGAAAACATTCTTTTTAATCTCCATCAATATTGAGGATCCAAAGCAGTTCACAAACAGGAAGGACTGCAGAATATATTTGCTCTCGACCCAGCCCTCCTGCTATTTCAATTCCACACAGGGAACCTGGTTTTCTGGACATTCCACAGAATATCTTTCTGGTAATGACATCATAATGATCAGACTTGGTGACTGGGAAGTGGCAAGGGTTTTTGGAGCCCTCAGGGAAACACATGCATACAGGAGTTGGGAGATAAGCCCTATGGATTCAAGGGCCTTCTAGATCAGTGAAGTTCTTCAGGGTCTAAATACCTGAGTCAGCTGGGCGCGGTGGCTCACGCCTGTAATCCTAGCACTCTGGGAGGCCAAGGCGGGTGGATCCCTTGAGCTCAGGAGTTTGAGACCAGCCTGAGCAAGAGCAAGACCCCGTCTCTACTAAAAATACAAAGAAATTAGCTGGACAACTAAAAAAAATATATAGAAAAAATTAGCCGGGCATGGTGGTGTGTGCCTGTAGTCCCAGCTACTCGGGAGGCTGAGGCAGGAGGATCACTTGAGCCCAGGAGTTTGAGGTTGCTGTGAGCTAGGCTGACGCCACGGCACTCTAGCCCGGGTAACAGAGCGAGACTCTGTCTCAAAAAAAAATAAAATAAAAAATAAATAAATAAATACCTGAGTCATGCTGGGAAATTCTAAGGTAAGAAACAAATTCTTTCATCTTGTACTTACTACCAAGAGGGAGTGTTTGGTGAGCTTCCTTGGATTTTGGAGGCAACATATACCACATTTAGGAATGCCTTTTCAATCCATTTACTGGGTGAATTGGAGGGCTGTCACTTTCGTGTGTGGCCCACAGCCATATATGGCCCAAGTACCACATGACCTGGCAGACCTCTAACAATGGTGTTAGAGGTCCCTGTGGTAGATAAAACTGTTGTGCAAAGGTCTGATAAGCCCCAACAGGAGCCTGGCAATAGAATACAAGAGCAAAGCCATGCTTCTGCAGCAAAGAATAGTTCACAGCTTGAAAAGCAGCTCCTGAGATGCTACTGACTGAGGCATCAAGTGACTATGAACTGGAGCTGTAGATCGTAAGCCAAGTATTACTAGGTCCAAGTCATGAGATCGGGTGGACTCAGCAACATCTGTTACACAAAGGAAATGGCACAACTGGGATCAGGCATAAATAGGCAGGCACATACGCCGGAAGCTGACTGCCCTGCACCCACCTTTGCTGCACTGACCCTCGTATTCTGCCCACTCCTCTGGATTCATGGAAGCTCCCTTTGACCAGTTAATGGAAGAAGAAACAGCCAGGGTCTGTTTCACAGAGGGAACCAGAAGGGCATTGTTTCACTATGGCCTTACTCAGAGTGGCCCTAAAGGGGAAATCCAGTAGGCAGAGCTTCAAGCAGTATATATACATATATGTATGTATTTTTAATAGAAACAAGTCTTTATTAACTTTTAATATCAGAAAAATAAAACTCTTATAATTCTCTTTACAGCAATCAAGCAGTGCATTTGGCACCAACTTTGTATGGAGGGAGGAATGGCTTGAGGCAAAGGTCTCATGGACTTCTGTGTTGCAGCAAACAGTGGCCTGGACAAGGGGCCTGTGAGGAGTAAGGCTGAGTCTGGAGACCCGAGGAAGACCTCAGCTTACGAACGGACCCACAGGAGCTGACACAGCGTGTAGATCTTTGTGTCTTACATCAACGCCATCAGAAAGTACCTTCTGCTGAGAAGGTGTCCTCAGTAACAGGGTGTTTGGGAAGACAACAGCAGTACAGATTTGGGACCCATTCACCTCTCACCAAAGTCGGAGGATGAGCGGCAGCTTCAGGCTTAGCAGGGCTCTTCGTTTCCCTCTGCCAGCCACCAGCTGCAGCTCCAGCAGGGGCACTGCAGATAAATAATTAGCTGCTGCCTAATTACTAATCCTCGTGGGTGTTCATCATGGTTAATATACAAATAGGACAGGTCACCATTAAATGTACTGAGTTTCGGGTGCTGGCAGGACACCCGGATCTCCAGCAAGTTACTGCAACAGTAAGAAAATTTGTTTTCAAGAACCACTGACTCAGGCC